CTCGGACTATGTTGAAGCAAGTCTATTAGACATCTCGGTGTGGCTCAATCGACCTGACGCACCGATGCTATGTCACGAACTCGTAGAATCGCTCCTAGTGCTCGGGACCMTAGACCATCCCCGAATATATGCAGGTCTTTTACCTAAGACTTGTTGCATAATCTCTAGATCACCGGGGGATTTTCTATTGATTTAGTTTGCCGCTTAATCTTTACCATGTTCTCCTATRGACATAAAAATCATTTATATAAATCTTAGTTATTTATAAAACGATGAAGACATGCAAAAGAGTTCGTTAAACGTAACTTACATATGAAGTGCGAGAATAGTCATTAACCCAACCCTCTTTTTCTCTATAATGCAACTTTCGAAAAGTCTCTATCTSACCGATAAGAGGTTTGTCGGACAATCCTCTATCTCTATAGTGCTCCTGCTTTTTCTGATTCTTGCATTTGTTTCATGCTCTTAATTATTCCATTAATTTGTTGTTCCTGCAATTAATACACAAAATTAGTAAAAGAAACAAGAATTATTCCATAACAAAAAGAATTGAACTAAAGCAAGAAACATTGAATACAATCGAATCRTTTTGACCTTGTGAATCAGGAAGGACTTTACGTTGCGGGATGCAGCATCAGAGAATAAATTGATATTCAGGATTGAAACACCCCCTGAAATTTTGATCAAAGACGATCGATTAAAAAAAACTATCCTTTTGTTATTGAACAACAAARTTTTAAGTCTATAAAAGCAAACAAAAAAAGGGCAAGTAATTCATGTTGCAAACACCAAAAAACTCAGATTGATGAAACTCATAAACCCCATATAGGATCGAGCAGAAGAAAAACAATTTCCATCTTATCACTTATAATTTTTGAGTCCAGATTCAGAGCTGTAGGCAGAAGGAGCAAGTACATATACTTCTAAACTATACTTACAGATTTCATCAAATTCCATTGCCATTCCAAAAYAGGTTTCCAACCTTCAGAAATTTGTGGAGCGAGGAAGGCTCTCCTCGACAACAAAATGAGAACAAAAGATTACAATAAACCAACCAAGATGAGCATAAAGATGAATCCGRTGTAGGTATAGTAGCCTTTGATAATAATGGAGGAGTGGGATGGTGAAAAGAACGTAAGAGTAGAAATGAAACAATCCAGATAGATCTACAAGGTTTTGTCAGTTAAATAAGATTTTAACTAGGACATATGGAAAGGCAATAATCGAACCAAAAACAGTAAATCAAATAAGGACATCAACTTTAACATAAACCTAGTTCATATGACAATGAAAGAAGTACTCTTGCATTGGCTTAACCAAAATAATCGGTAATGCTTGTTGAAAGATTCAGCTACTTTGAGGCAAGTAACCTAGTGTTTCCGTGTTCCGTTTTATGCTAAAAAAARTTGAGCTTTGGTCYCACTTATTATGAATGGATACATCATTTAGACGCGTTTCTGAGAAAAGGGTCTGTGACATATTCTAGATCCTAAACAAAGCGAACCTTTTCACTGGTTTGYAGGATCTTTTTCGTTTAACAGGTGTTGAATGAATATTTCTAGCCATCGTGAAAGCTATGCCAATAGATCATCACATGAAATTTAGTAGCTTATTGTGGTATCGATCATTTACAC